ACCCTCATTGAGAACCTCAGTCACAGCGAAAGGGAAAGAGCGCGACTCACCCTCCTCCATATCTCCTCACAACGCGATGCACGATCGGGATGTCTTTGCCCTTAACGTTGTACACCACAATTTCGCCCACTTGTGTATCTGCGCCCCGGTTCCACAGGAACAGCAGATCTCCTCGTTGGAACGCAGGCTCCATGGATCCCGACAGAACGACGACAATAGGCGAGGGCGAGTCGGAGACCACGGACAGTCCTTTCCACATCATGAAGGCGGTTGAGAGGACGAGCGCGAAGTTCAGGACTTGTGCGGCGAGTTGCCGCGGCTGCATATTCGCAAGGCCCAACATAGCTGCGGATCGGGAATGCTGATGCGAAGGTTGGAGGTAGAGGTGCGCTCGTTGATCGTGGAGTGGGACGTGGGGCGCGCGACCGGGTCGTAGACTCGCGTCTTGAGAATATGAATTCACCGCAGGCGTATTCGGGGATATGTGTAGGGGTGGGCGGCGCGGCGACTTGCGCGTCGGGGAATTCGTGGTCGAGATGTTGAAGCCAGATGTCCTTGGCTTCGCTGTTGCGGGCAGCTTAGTCAACCTCCGAGATGTGAGCTATGAACTCCGCATCCCTCTCTGCTACTTGACCATAACAACACACGACACTTTCAAATAGCGGCACACGACTCATAAGCCCTAGCCTCATCATGTTTCGGTCTGATAATGGTTATGAGGGACTTGTCGCGCGTGAGGGTCTGTTTTCGTCTTTCACCTGGCATGATGGCCCTCACCGAAGCCCACCTTTACCCTGGGAACGTATCCACACGATGTCTAGTTATGTCAGGCTTCGTTTTGACGCTCACATACAACACTGCTCAATTCTTCCTCCTCCCAATAGGTTGAAATTCGATCTACAGCTGTCACACAACTGTCGCTCACCAGCTCTCATTCCTATCTGTCACTCCCCAAACAAACGACCCCACATCACATAATCAAGGTCATCACGATGCGGCTATCGCCAGGCGATATGGTGCAGTATAGGACTCCTGGTTTATTCTTCCCGCTATGGCCGGCGGTCATTTGCGACGACAATATGGCACCGGGGGACGTGTTGGGAACTCGTCCACATGGGAAATCAACTCTGGTCTTACTGATGGGCGAGGATCTGGTCTTGTAAGGAACTTGAAGCTTGAACAATGTCTTGACCCTGCTAACTCGACAAGTCGCTGGGCGCATGCCGCAGACATGAGGGAGTACGACCCTTTCACGCCCTACACGCACGAAGAGGTTATCGAAATCACGCCAGGACTTGGTGATGCATATGAGATGGCGAGCAAAGCACTTGATGAGCATATGGGCATTGATCAATGGCGAAAGCAACTGATGAATCTAGCCAACGAGGCTTCGGGCTCGGACACTAACATGAACGACTCGGGCGATGATTCAGACTCAGATCCAGAAATGAGACAGGCTCTCCGGCAGAGCCGCAAAGAATTCTATGGTAATCGGTCGAAAGGGCGAATTGCGAACAGCTTCTCACATCCACCGACTTCATCACAGTCGCCATCAAAACCTGCGCGGTTCCCAGCCAATCGTCGCGTTTCTGTCGTCTCCGGCTCCAGCAGAGCTCCAGATACGATCTTGAATGCATGGGAAGCACCGTCGAGACCTGCCGCCAGCTCATCGCAGCCCTCAAGAGACCATGGACAACTTCAGGCCGTACCATCCCCACAAGATCGGTTGAATATGCGCAGAGACACGCCAATAGACCTAACGGACGACAGCAGCGCCCATAACTCGACTGAGGTAAGAACGGCCGAATCGAGACAGAGACACTTTCAACAGGTAGGCTTCCTCGACCATCAGCTTGGTGGCGTGGGACGTGGTCGGAAAGAACCAATCAGCGATACCATCGAGGGCGAGCTGTGAGTCTCCTATCAATCTCTCATACCCTCTCAGCTAACAGAATCTAGCTCAGAAAGCAAGGAATTCGTACAAGTATTGGTCGGGCCTGACCAAGAAGTCTATAACCTGCAAATATCGTGTCTGTGGGACCGTCCATACTTCAGAGACTCCAAGCAGGGCCTCCTCCTGATCGACCACAATGACGCCGGGATGTGGGAGCTCAAACACCCTGCTCTTGTCGACATTAACCCCGAAGACTTCACATTTATCGCAGAATACCTAGAAAGTGATGGATTTGGTCATCGGAACCCGCAAGAGGGTGAGGAAGCGAACGAAGCCTTTGCACAATGTGTTGCGGCGTGGATCACCGCGGAGGTTTTGGGTATGTGGGACATGCTGGAACATGTCGCTGAGAAGCTGAAGGGCATAAAGCCGGGGAAGTTGGAAATATTGGTGTTCTGTCGACATGTTTTCGCACAGGATACAACATCAATCTCCCATGAATATCTCAAGGAACATTTGGCCGTATACATTGCGGAAAACTGGTGGCCATACCTCAGGGATGACCACTTGAGGTCGAGCTTCATTGAGCTGCTGCAACACTTCCCAGAGTTGCAGCGAGACGTTTACGAGCGGAGGATTCTGGCGCTGAAGAAATGCATTGATCAGAGTCAAGAAGATAGCGATACTGACATGGACTGAGTATGTCATGGCTCATCGGGTTGTTCTTCTGATCTACTTGTTTTGCTTTCAAAAAGTTCAGTCATGTTTTTCTTCTAGGTTGAGAGAGGACGAGGAACAAGTCCCTTATTATCTTCATCATTGTACTTGGAGAAGCTATTCCAGCCCTGAGCATGTCTTGCCAGAAGCCTCTTTCACATCCTTTATCCAACAGACAAGCCGAATTGCCCAGCTTCAATCGCAGTATCGTGAACAGTGCAAAGAACAAGCCTCAGTCGGAGTCGCTTTCGAACTCCGGAACATTCGGATCTAGGCGCATGTGGTCAGTATGCCATCTTGTTTGTCGCCTGCTCATCGCGCAGATACATACCTCGAAGTGCCATGTACTCCAACGTACCACTAGCCTTCTCCGCAAGATTATCCCTTACCAGCGTCAACTCCTCTTCCGAGAGCAGCGTATCCGTGTCTGCCATGTCTATCGAGACACGGATGGCCTGATTACCCGGTCCGAGTCTCGATACAAAGTCCAGTAGACCATCCATGGTGAATTTGGATATACCGGAGATGGTAACAGTACGTAGATTTGGCAAGCTGGCGAGGTGAGGAAGCACAATGTCGTTGAGCTCCAGGCCGCTTACGTACAAATCCTCCAGCATTGTGAGCTCAGCGAGAATGGTGACGAGATGTTCATCCCGCAGCACCTCCGGAAGAATAAGGTGCAGATCTCGCAGCTCTGTCAATTGCTTCAAAGAGTCCACGAGAATATCCAGATCATCTCGAAACATGCCATCGGTATCGCCACTCAGGAAGAGCACCCTTAAAGAAGACTGCTGGTGTACAAGAGCCTGATGGAACGTCTTGTGATCTTTTAGCGTGTACGAGTCTATCTCTAGGCTGCTGAGTTGTATCTTCTCTTCGAGCAGTACGGGCGTGATGAGTGCGGCTCCGGATTGCATTTTCGAGAAGCTGAGGCGTTGTAGATCTGAACATTTGCGTAACCAGGCAGTCGTCTCGAGGAAGACGTCATGTTCCGTCGCTTCCAAGTCTACAGTACCATGGATGTCCTCAATGCGTAGCGTTCTTAAAGCCGTACATCCTTGTAGTAGCGAGAGGTGCGGTATTGACTCGTTCGAAACGCACAGTCTCAGATCTTCTAATGAGTTCCCATGGTGATTGAGAGCTAGTAGTGACTCGGCACCGGCCTTGACGTCGCTGATGGTTTGGAGTGTTTGGAGCGTGTTCGGTCGCATGGAGGAGAGGAATTTGGCGAACTTGTGATCATTGTCTTCTGAGACCCAGGTATAGATCATAAGAGATTTGAACTGCGGACAGTGGTCGTAGATAGATGCATGAACCAGTTCGTCTTCTAGAGGCTTTCCGTCCCACAGCTCAAGGCTCTGTAGTCGAGGAAGCCGGGGCGTCCATCGTACCAGAGCACCAGGCTGGACTAGTATAGTTAGCTCATATCCGAATGTTGAGAGGAAGGATGTACTTACGTTCACCGCTGATGATCTCCAGGGTTGGAGTATGCTGTGTGACCACTGAACCACGTTAGTATCGTACTGAACAGCTTCGCGCATTTATCAAACCTTCACCAATCGCGTCGATGATATCCGCTGTCTTGATCCGAGTATACTTTCTGCCTTTGATGTTCGTCCCTGTCTCAGTCTTCTCGAACTGCTTCAACGGCCCAGAGAAGAATTGCCTATTTTACAATCAGAGTTGGTGATGTCTGACATCGAAGCTGTACTGACTTGGAAACTTTCGCACGGAATTGGTCGTCATCGAGGAGATATCCCAGATCCCGAAAGTCTAGCGATTTGATATAACGGCAGTATGGGAATAGTGTGACATCGAGTGCAGATGCGACAATTGATCGCCAAAGAATGGACCTAAAGATGGGTGTAAGAAGTCAGTCTCTCTCTCATACAGTTCGTACGGTAAAAGTTACGTACCATTTTTGGATCGTGAGAAGCTTGGTGGCAGCTGGTAAGCCATAGAGATCTTCTCCTCCACCTCGAACAGGAGCGAGATGATGAGATCTAACGATCGTGTCAGTAAATTGACGATAAAGCAGCGAGGCCAATGCGACATACTTGTACAGATGAGTTAATGCAGGTACGGCGAGAGCACGGCTGGCGCAAGCACAGTTGAAGAGTGTGTCGAACTGTTCTTGATTCGCAAGCTCTTCACATAGGAGATGCAGAATATCATCAGGCAGCGCTGACTGAGTCATTTTGTTTGCACTAAGGAGGGCTGATATCGTGCTCCTAGGAAAGGTGAATGGATGGGCGCCCATGAGAGTAGGCGCGATGATGTCAATGCGCTAGCGCGTGTTTGACGCGCTCTTCCCGCTTTCGGTCGCCGGGGCTCGTCGCGATCCCACCCAAACACCCTGCGACGATGCGAGCAGTCGCACGAAGGCAAAATGGTTGTCCTCAACTTCACCCTGACGCCCGAGGCAGCGTCTAAGGTTCACGATCTGCTTGTTTGCCTCGGCAAGTTCAGCGAGACTGTAGCCATTGAAGCGCGTCGCGAAAAGGTAGGTTTGCCGCTCTTCCTTCTAGTCAGTCCGGCATCTCATACCTCTTGCGTCAGTTCACATTTACCGCTCTCAACTCTTCCAAATCCGCATACGCCGCCATCACATTAGACGGTCGACATTTCTTCGCCAGCTATGAATGTGTGCCGACTTATGGCGGTCCTGACGGCCGCTTCACGTGCAGTATGTACACCAAAGCGCTCTTATCGGTCTTCAAAAGTCGCTTGTACGACCCGCTAGGGCGTGATGGTGCGATCGATCGCTGTGAAGTCAGTGTGCAAGAGCGGGAAACCGAGGCGCAATGTCGATTCATCGTCAAGATGATCTGCAACCAGGGTGTCATCAAGACCTACAAGCTCACATATGAAGCCGTGGACGTCATGCATGCACTGTTCGATCGCAACGCGGCGAAAAACAGGTGGAGCATGCACTCCGGGGCTGTGAAGGAGTACGCTGAATATTTTGGTACCAAGACCGAAATGCTCGATATCTTTGCGAGTGAAGACGGACGCTGCGTATTTAAGAGCTACACAGAAAAGATCTCGAACGGGAAGGAAATCCTGAAGCATCCACTTGTCACAGCCGTCGCAGTCAATACTTCCGACTTCGAGGAATTTACTGTGCAGGCGGGTATGCACATCATCATCAACGTCAAGGATTTCAAGGCAATAGTCGTCCATGCAGACACAATCAAGACAAGCTTAAAGGCATTTTACTCCCAGCCAGCGCGTCCACTCCAGTTCAGCTATGGAAGCGATGGGCTGCTCTGTGAGTTTACGCTAATGACTTCTGGCAACCACACCGCCGCTCCATCTGCGCCAACACCTGCGACGCACGCAATGAGCAGCAGACAAACCTCTCGCACGACCTCAACCACAACTGCGGAGCGTGGACAGAGTCGCAGCTTCCGATCTAATATGCCACCGCCTGTGCAACCAGCATCGCGACGCGATGCCTCTGGCCGAGTGCGGAATCCAGGATCTCGTCAAGTCTCGGCACTGCAAGCACAACCTGCCCGTGACGATTCGGAAAGCCTCTTCGTACCGGAGGATGAGGACGCAGCCTGGGCGCCGGTAGACTATGATAAGGAAGAGACTCTGGGATGGGACGCGAATGCCAACAACGATGCTGCAGCTTTTCCAACATTCACGGACAGTGGTGGTGTGTCGAAGACGAATACGGCGGACAGCAATGAAGTGTTTGAGCCTACGCAACGTGTATCGCAGATCAAAGGACTGTGGTAGTCGCCTGACACTGACGACCGCATATTGCACGAAGTGGCTGTTCAAGGCCCAAAGCAAGTTCCAGCTGTCGCAATGGGTATACATTCGCATCTCCGATGCCAGCGGCTTATCAGATCTTATGCACCGTCTCAACTAGTGTATCTCCTGTCTTTCCGCAAGATCATGGAGGCTATCAACTCTGAGACTTGTGGTAAGGTTGCAATGGAGCCGTTAAGATTAAACTGCCGGAAGTGTGGTACTCCGAGGGAGGAAATGTTTGTTAACCTTCGCGCACACATCACAGCATTATTGCTGTTTCGCACATAATGTCACAAATGAGAGAAGTCGCAAGTATAATGTACTAGTTCACTAGACTGGTCGATTGAACGGGACGCTGAACATCCTGAAGAACACGTGCATGAACTACAGCTATCCAACTGCATCATACACAGATGTGTAGTACGCTTTAGAAGAGGCAAAGAAGAAAGATGCATCGAAATGGTTTCCTCTGTTGCGCGATGAGGCACATGGTACTCTTGGGGTTCGTGATGGCGATGGTGGCTTGATACCTGCGGGTCGGCGTGGCCGGTCCATGAGATGCTTGCTTGTTTACAGAAGCGACTCAATGTGCTCAGACTTTTACGTTACTGAAGATGCCTGGCAAGGCTTCTTCTGCTTACGCTGATCTACCGAATTTTCAATATTAGGAAATGGATTCCTTCAAAGCTGACCTAGGTATAATTGATAGAACACTGGATATCATCCAGGATGTCAAAGGCAGCACGCGCACAGGTGTACGAATTTGTGCAACCTTCCACAGCGTCGGCTGCGCAGCTTCCACGGCCTGCGACAGCATCAAAGGTGCGAGTCGATGACGTGGATCTCGCGTACGCGTATTTGCGGATGGTGGGGCTCCAGGGTTGTCTAGAGAAAACGATGTAGGGGATCTTACCATGTTATATCCAGACGATAGTGAAGCAACGCCTGCATACTCTTCTCGACCGACAATGGCACCCAGACGCATTCTAGTAATCGCTGGCTCGGACAGTTCGGGTGGGGCGTACGTACGCGTGCATGCATCCGCCCTTCATCAGCCACACACCACTAACCATGCTGCCACGCCAACAGCGGACTAGAAGCAGATCAGAAGGTCATTGCAGCGCATGGCTGTTATGCTATGACGGCTACGACTGCTTTGACAGCCCAGAACACACTAGGCGTCCAGGACATCCACCATACCCCGCCGGACTTTGTGCGGAAGCAGATCGATGCTGTCTGTGAAGATGTGGGCGTGGATGTGGTCAAGACAGGTATGATGACATTCAGAGAGACACCATTCTTTGGTGAATGTGCTGATAAGATACAGGCATGCTTGCATCTGCTGAGACCATTATGGTCGCTGCGGATGCTTTGAAGAGACATGAGATCAACACCAGTATCGTTGATCCTGTACGTCTCAGATTTCATTCTAGATCCCTTTATATGAACCAAAACGAGCTCCGTGCTGTGCTGACTACTTGAACAGGTAATGGTGTCAACATCTGGCTCACAGCTCCTTCCCGAATCAGCCATCGAAACCCTGATTCAACACCTTCTGCCTCACACGACGCTTCTCACACCAAACCTTCCTGAGGCTCGCTTGCTTCTCCAAACGGCCGGGTACGATATTCCTGATCCGAAGAATGTTGATGACATCGTCTCGATGGCGCAGCATGTCCGGTCACTAGGACCCAAATGGGTGTTACTGAAGGGGGGCCATTTACCATTGACCCACGGCCGGGTAGTCAGCACGCACGACAGCGAGAGGGAAGTCGTCTTGAACATCCTCGTGGGTGAGACTGGAGTCACAATGCTAGAGAGCCCGTATCTGCAGTCGAGGAACACGCATGGGACAGGGTGTTCATTAGCATCCGCTATTGCGTGTAATCTGGCGGAGGGAATGTCGATGGCCAAGGCGGTCAAGAAGGCCAATCTGTACGTTGAAGCAGGCATCAAGACAGCTGTCGATATGGGAGGGGGAAGCGGCCCCATCAACCATTTCCACTCGATGTACATGCTGCCTTTCACGCCAGGCAACTTTATTAGCTATCTGCTCGACCGAGAAGACGTGCAGAAGCCGTGGAAGGAATATACCCAACACGAGTTCGTGCAGAGTATGGGCGCTGGGACATTGCCAGTGGAGAAGTTCATGTACTACCTTGTGCAGGACTACCTCTTCTTAGTAAGTATATGTTGAAACATATTCATTTCCCGTGTAGAAGAGAGTAACTGACTAGTAGGAAGGTCCAATTTGCAAGAGCGAACGCGCTGTCTGCATACAAATCTAGCAATCTGAGAGACATTGGGTACTCCGTGCAACAAGTCGTCACCCTCCAGGAAGAGATCAAGCTGCACATCGACTTCTGTAAAGAGTACGGACTATCGGAGGCCGACATCATCGAAGAAGAAGAGGACCAGGCCACCACGGCATACACCCGTTATGTGCTCGACATCGGCCTGTCGCAAGACTATCTTGCTCTGCAGATTGCGCTTTTGCCTTGTCTCATCGGTTACGGCATTATTGCCAAACGTCTCTACGAAGATCCCAGCACCGTGAGGGTGGGAAGCAAGTACTGGAAGTGGATTGAGCAGTATGTGGCAGAAGAGTACAGGGAAGCGATGATGAGGGGCAGTGAGCTGGTAGAGAAGCATGCCGAGGGACTGAGTCCGAGCCGGGTGGAAGAGCTGGCCAAAATCTTCATACACGCTACAAATGTGAGTGCTAGGCTGAATATGACAGTCGGTAACATGCTAATGCTGTATAGATGGAGAAGGGGTTCTGGGACATGGGCCTCAGAGCTGGTGATGGGCCAAGGTGAGAACCAGGGCACAGGACTGTATCCTATCTGATGGGAAAGCATCGGGTTGTCTCGTCATCGGTATACTTTCACATTGTCGCATTGCTTCGAGAAGTAGGCACTAGGCGTGCAATATGCGGGTCGCAATGGAAAATGCTTCGCAATCACCCAGATGCAAGGCCCACAGTGGCGACATAGTCTTCGGTTTTCGTGGTGGCTTCCCCGGGCTGATAACGGCAAGCTCCGCCCTTACCCAACTGGGCGAGACCCTGGTGCTAGCGGCGCTAGCGTCTCAAAAAATGTGCAAGCGCAACAGAGGCAAGGCAACTTTTCCTGTCGCGCTCTGCCCTCTGACTTCCTCTCACCCCAACTCGCAACTCTACAATTTGTGCTTCTTTTATCGCACAACACGCGACACTTTTACAGTCGCTCTACTGCAACTAATATCTTCTCGTAGTCTCCAGACTTCGACCCACGCTCCCTTACTCGATCGGTTCCCCCTTGACGCCAGTCTCTACAACACACTCTCACATCATGTCTTCCTACGGCGGCGGTTACGGCGGCGGCGGCGGTGGATACGGCGGCGGCGGTCGCGGTGGTGACCGTGGCTACTCGAACGGGTACGAAAACAGCAACGCTGGATATGGGTCTTACAACAACTCGACAAGCCATTATGCATCGTACGGGTAGGACGATACACCCCCTTCACACGGGAACGGCATCACAGTCGTGGTTCTTGGACAGCCCTCCATCTGCTACCATTCTTTCTCTCCATTCTGCGCGCAGTCTGAGTTCGATCGTCCTGTCAGGCTGTCTCACAGTCGAAGCGGGCGGTCGCTTACTCGATGCGACAACGTAGAAGCCCCCTTCTGTCACTCATCTCATCTCAGCGACATCTGCTAACATCTATCTAGTGGCGGCGGCTACGGCGGCGGCGGTGGTGGTGGCTACTCCGGCGGCGGTGGTGGCTACGGTGGAGGAGGTGGTGGTTATGGCGGTGGCGGCGGCGGCTTTGGCGGCGGTCGCGACGGCGGCGACCGCATGTCGCAACTCGGCCAGGGCCTGAAGCAGCAATCATGGGGTATGTTCCATTGTCTCGTATAGGCTCCGCGCAACACTAACGCTTTCCAGATCTCGACACGATGCCCAAGTTCGAGAAGTCCTTCTACAAGGAGGATCCCGCTGTTACTGCTCGCTCAGCAGCCGAGGTTGCCGAATACCGCAAGGAGCACCAGATGACCGTCAAGGGCGAGAACATTCCCAAGCCCGTCACAACCTTCGACGAGGCTGGCTTCCCATCATACGTGATGAACGAGGTCAAGGCCCAGGGCTTCGCCAAGCCCACCGCTATCCAGGCTCAGGGTTGGCCCATGGCTCTCTCTGGTCGCGACGTTGTTGGTGTTGCCGAGACCGGTTCCGGAAAGACGTTGACCTACTGTCTTCCTGCCATCGTTCACATCAACGCTCAGCCTCTCCTCGCCCCCGGCGATGGCCCCATCGTCCTCATTCTCGCGCCCACTCGTGAGCTTGCTGTCCAGATTCAGCAAGAGATCAGCAAGTTCGGAAAGTCCTCGCGCATCCGAAACACCTGCGTCTACGGAGGTGTTCCAAAGGGTCCCCAGATCCGTGACCTTGCGCGCGGTGTTGAGGTGTGCATTGCCACCCCTGGACGTCTCATCGACATGTTGGAGGCTGGAAAGACCAACCTTCGCCGTGTTACCTACCTGGTTCTCGACGAGGCCGACCGCATGCTTGACATGGGTTTCGAGCCTCAAATCCGCAAGATCATCGGACAGATTCGCCCTGACCGTCAAACCTGCATGTGGTCCGCTACATGGCCCAAGGAAGTTCGCCAGCTTGCTGCCGACTACCAGAAGGACTGGATCCAGGTCAACATTGGTTCCATGGATCTCTCTGCCAACCACCGCATTCAACAGATCGTCGAGGTCTGCACAGAGTTCGAGAAGCGTGACCGCATGGCCAAGCACCTCGAGACCATCATGAGCGACAAGGACAACAAGATCCTCATCTTCACAGGTACCAAGCGCGTTGCTGACGAGATCACCCGATTCCTTCGTCAGGACGGCTGGCCGGCGCTTTGTAAGTTAAACCGCATGTCATGAACTGATCACCGCTAACTCATCTCCAGCTATTCACGGCGACAAGCAGCAGAACGAGCGTGATTGGGTCTTGAACGAATTCAAGACGGGCAAGAGCCCCATCATGGTTGCCACCGACGTGGCTTCCCGTGGTATCGGTATGATTGCAAACCCCCAACACTCCCCCCTCCTCACCTCCCCAACTATTATTATGCGTGAACTGCCATTGTGCTCTGCTTAGGTCGTCTTGTGCGCTCGTTACACTCGCTCCCATGACATCGTCCAGGGCTTGCCTCTCTCGAATCTGATCCCCAGGGATCCTTGGTTACGCTGGCGAAGCTTTCAGTCTTCGCTATCTTCTGTTTCTGGTATTACCAAGGTACTACTGAAGCAAGCTGCTTGAGATATCTGACTTACACAAGTCGCACTCTCTTCCAAGGGTTTCTGGACCAGGAGACATCCACAGCCTTCCCACTGGACTTGATGCCGTGACATTCGTTGTAGCGCACAGAGACGGTTGCATGCAACATACTGCAGCTTCACGCGATCCAATCATGATCGTCGTTTGCTCGTTCCTTTCATCAGTCACTAACCTTTGCTCTTCAAGATGTCCGCAACATTACTCACGTGTTCAACTATGACTACCCGAACAACTCGGAGGACTATGTCCACCGCATTGGTCGTACTGGTCGTGCTGGCGCTAACGGTACTGCCATCACCCTCTTCACCACAGACAGTATGTATCTTCGACCCTACTCTGCACACCATTCACTAACAGATTCATCAGACTCCAAGCAAGCTCGTGATCTCGTCCAGATTCTCACAGAGTCCAAGCAGCAGATTGATCCTCGTCTGCACGAGATGGCCCGCTACGGTGGCGGCGGTGGTGGTGGTGGTCGCTGGGGAGGTGGCCGCGGCCGTGGTGGAGGCCGTGGCGGAGGCCGTGGTGGTAGGTGGTAGAAGTCCCTTCGACACCGAGCGAGATCTAACGCCCATCTCAGGCTGGACCGGAGGTAACAGCGATCCCATCCGCAACAGCCGCTGGTGATCACTTTATCCATCGCACTTGCTTATTCACATTGTCAGAACGATGAGCACCCTTTCTCCAACCTGCTATCGGCGTTGGAGGCAATCGTTTCGGACTTGCTTCATCTTTCATCCCATTTCTCGTGCGACGGAAAGCCGCTGTACCTGCTCAGGTTCTGTCGTACCCTGATACCCCATGGACAGAGCTTTGATCTTCATGCATGGACACGATTTCAGTATGGTAGCATGGTTCTTCTACATTAGACTGGCATTGTTTTGTTTTCCTCTATTGAGGTTGCGCCTATTCAGCAATCCCTTGCATGATGGCGCTGGTGGCGTTTATGTCCAGAAAAAGTTTCTGTAACTGTAATAGCGATATAGAATACACGTACTGCGTTTCTTACTATGCTATCCGCTTCATCTGACTGTCTTGCCTTGCCTTGTGCTGGATCCATAATGTAATCCTGTAGTTGACTGATGAGCTGTTATAGCCAGACGACTCGACACGTCGCTTATACCTCTCGCTATCGACGCGCAAACGCTGAACATTACCCACACCCTTTGAATAAGTCCGCCGCCTAATCGAGGCTGTTTGTTTTCATCAGCATGATGGCGGCTGCAACATCCTGTTTGTCAAAGTGGCCGCATGTGATCTGGACGCAGGATCTGTCGGTCACATCTAATGTCTGGTGGAACCTCTGCGAAGAGGTGAGTACAGGCCGATCCATCAGCTGTCTCATGTCGATCTCGTAAGAGAGGAGATAAGGTATAATTCTATTGCAACAGCGAATTGAAGTTCTTCTAGAGGAAGACAAGGACTACATGTTATCAGAAGAAAGGGAAATAGATAGAGCACGATTGTCAAGAGCGCAACATGCACATAGAGAACGACTATGTATTCCGACTAGATATGTTAGCTACACAGAAGGGTGGATAGCGCGACTCGGGGGTGTCTGCCTTCGCGCCATCCTGTGTGTTCGTTTTTGCCATTCGATGTCATTGCAGGCTGGTATCGTAGGGGTACATATTGATGTGGTGCTATCAAAGTATATGGATTCAGGTAGCTGTTATAACAATACGGTTGAGCACAATGTCTTGATTGTTTTTATGACTTTGTCGTATAATCTAATAAATATTGAGACGGTACATTGTATCAGGTATACACTGGAGACATCGTCGGTCTATCATTGTAAACAAGAACTCATACATATTGCTGTTGTGCTCATGTACAGAAGCTTGTGCCTTACAGGCATACATATGCTTTAGAGCATCCAAGAAGACTGGTATGTATGCAGCGGCATCTGATTCTGTATCATCCTTCATGAAAAAAGAACTTGAAAACTTCATCTAGAGAGGCGATATATGTCTGTTACCTTGACATGATATCGAGGCTTGATTGTATACACGGTATGAAATCAAATGTTCGCATCGTCAACTACTCCAGATTCTATCAAAACAATGTTTGGTCGCAGTATTACTAAGGCGTTATTCATGTTATATATGTCCTTTCTCACAGTGCGATCTTCCGCCTGAGGACTGTATTCTCACCGGCTTTTTATGCCGATAAGCAGTGTCTATCCGGAACACGAGCAGACCCGTTGCCCTCTTTAAGCCATCACCGTGAACCCTTCGACTGCGCTCGAAAAGATTTGGAATTGCGTCCACGGTTCATGACGCGGCAGCTGCTGCGGGAATGAGGTTCATGGTGAAATCCATGCGCACTCCTCACTATTCCCTTGGGACACTGGTCATTATCTTCGGCTCGGGGTTGCCTTCGGATACGGGGTCGTGAACAGCGATGCACAGCCTCAACGTGGCCATAGCCCCACTGCGACTGCCTGATACCTCTACTCATTAGTCGTCGGTGTCTGGTACGCATCACTTTATTGTGGAGCTACAAAGAAGTTTCTGGACTCATGTGTCGTGC